TATATATATATAATATATATATACATATGTAAAAACATATATAAATATATATATATACATACATACATACATACATACTTAAACATACACATATATTTGTATAAAAACAAATATTCCAAGAGGATAGAAGCCAGGTAGAACTCAATATCCAGGACAGAGTAAGGATATAATAAAAATGCTTAAACACTAATATTGGATGGTCATAATTTATTCCATTGGAATCGTAAATACGATCCAATTCTTCACACCTACAAATTCTGAATTTTGATTATGTAGGTCTGATGAATTTACGATTCCAATGGAATAAATTATGACCATGGAATAATATATATTTATATATTTATATATATATATATATATATATATATATATATATATATATATATATATATATATATATATATATATATATATATATATATATATATATATATATATATATATATATATATATATATATATATATATATGTATGTATATATATATATATATATATATATATATATATATATATATATATATATATATATATATATATATATATATATATATATATATATATATATATATATATATATATATATATATATATATAAAATAGGCAAACAATGTGGGTCCAACTGATTATTAATGTTGACTCACATAGGGTTTTCTTATTGAAACGCTCATCATGACCAGATGGATATTCATTTACTGAATATTGAAAATTGAGTTATCTCTTGAGAGCTTTTTTATGTTTAACATTCTTTTTATAGATACAAGTATTTAAGTAAATGCTTTGTTTATAATAAACAGTATTAAATAACATTTACCGGAACAGTATATGATGCAGGTTCGAATCCTCGGATATTCAGGCCGGTAAATGTTATTTAATACTGTTTATTATAAACAGAACATTTACTTAAATACTTGTATCTATAAAAAAGAATGTTAAACATAAAAAATGTCTTTAATAAATTGTCGGACTTTGTCCATTTCTTTATGTATATATATATATATATATATATATATATATATATATATATATATATATATATGTGTGTGTGTGTGTGTGTGTTGGTGTCGAATTCGATGAGCGGAAGTCGAATATATATATATATATATATATATATATATATAGGGAGAAGAGGTTATAGTAGTTCCAACGAGAGAAAAGTGTGTATATTAAAAAGAAAAAAGAAACCGCAAAAGTTTTTGGTTGGAATGTGGATTATCTTTTTAACTATAAGCTTTATTTATTATGCTTTATTTTCCACATTTTTAAAAAAAAAATCCACATTACATCCAAAAATTTTTGCGGTTCTCTCCTATTTTAAATATATATATATATATATATATATATATATATATATATATATATATATATATATGCTACCTTAAAGTGGTCTGTTTTTCATTAAATATTAGCTCTGTATTCACATTGAGCTCTCAGGATTTCATCCTCCTTGGAATTACCCATTCGGTTTACCAAGTTCTTCGTAACTTAACTATATATATATATATATATATATATATATATATATATATATATATATATATATATATATATATATATAGCCGTATCACGACGCGAAATCTGATAGCCCCTGTCAATATTAAAAATTTTCGATACTCTCCCGTCGTCATTCGAAACACTGATAAATATTTTTTATTGTTATTCATCCAATACAAGGGGCAAAATCACTCCTTGTAGGTGGTTACTTATTTATGATATTATAAAGGCGTACAAACGAGGAGAAAATAGTTACGTATGATGAGGATATGTAGGATAGATAACAGTAAACCCTCGAATTGAAAGGGGTAAAGAGTGGACAAATCTGGAAAGTGGTCTGTAGGGAATCTGTATCACAATGCCCCAAATCTAGGGAAGTTGTTCTCTAAGTGATTGACTGACTTGTTTTTTTTTTATGGATTACTAGCAGCATGGCCCGGCGTTGACCGTGCTTAATTCAAAAATCGTACGACTCATACAGCAATCGCTATCACTTGACTTAAAATATTTTTGCCCTTCCTTGCCTTTAAAATAGTGCTCTTTGCCGTGCTGATGTTGCTAGCGTGCTAGTTAACATTCGTGTCATTCAGCTGTTGGCTCTCACGCTGGCCAGTAGAATCTGCCTGCCTATTCGTGGCAGCCAGCTATTGGCTCCCACTCTGGCCAATAGAAAATGGCCGCCAACTACATGAAAACTGCCGTGAGAAGCATGAAAAATCGATTATTTTCACTACCGATGGGAGTTGGGAAATGCAAAGTCAGTCTTGGCCTTCACGCTAACTTGGAGCATGTGCATGTAAATTTTGGTGCAAATCCGTCGAAAATTGCGGCCGTGCATTCGTTACACACACACACAGACACACACACACACACACACACACACACACACACACACACACACAGACACACACACACACACACACACACAACATCTTGCCTTTTATATATAAAGATATAAATTTTTTTGCAAAAGACGACAATGCGTTGAGTGGTATCCTTAATACTGTAAAATGTTTCAGTGATGTCATCGGTACGGATTTCGGATTAGATAAATTTGCAGATTTAGATTTAGAATAAAATGACCAATAATAATTTTCATCTGTAGTTGGAAACATGCAATTGCGTTCAAAATATTTATCTTTCGCTGTTGACATGCCGCTAAAACATTCAACGAAACAAACTACGTGCATGATATTAATGGCGAAATAGAACTTCCCCATGTCCCTTGTAGCTCTCAGTAAGTTTCGTGCCTCTGTTTACTTCCTCCAGGCTCTTTTCCGTGATCCACTTGCTTAAGCCGCCCAGGTATGTAATATGTTGCTTTCCTTTGTCTCTTTTTCCCTCTATTCGACCTATGAGTATCGGATTCTCCAGGCCTCCCTTTCTCATTACGTGTCCCAGAAATATCATCTGCCTCTTCCTTATGTTAAGTATAAGCTTCCTCCTTGTTTTCATCCTTTCCAAGACCTCATCGTTGCTCACACGCTCGCTCCATGATATCCTTGGTATCCTTCTATAGAACCACATCTCCGCTGCCTCGAGTCTCTTCTTCATCTTTGAGGAGAACGCCCAACATTCGTTGCCGTATAGGGGGACAGATGTCATCTAGGAACTCAGTACTTTATTTGTCAATAAAGAAGGAATCCTTGGCCACCCTAATCCGTCTTCGGATCTCAGCGACGCACCTACAGTCCCCTGTCAAAACACTTCCCAGACGTTTAAACTTCCGCATATGCTTGATTTTAGTGTCCCGACCTGCAAATATCATCCTTTTACTGATAATCTATTCCAATTAGCGAAAACAGGAACGAGAACAAATCTAATCCCATATTCTTCAGAACGCTGTAATCTTATAAAGTCTATGGCTATGCGAGATTTTACAAGAACGAAACTACACACTCACTTAAGATTACGCTTTCCCCATGTGAAGAAGCAATATTGCTCAGAAAACGGCTTTTATCTAAATTCAGTTTTTTTCCAATAGGCATTGGAAGGGTTTAGGTCACCTCGACGTGATATAATTATTCTTGCCTTGCTAGAACAATTACGAGTGAGTAGTGAGTTCGATCCTCATACTTTTTGTCTTGTACCTGCAAATCTCATCCTTTTACTGATAAACTATTCTAATTAGCGAAAACAGGAATGAGAACAAATCTAATCCCATATTCTTCGACCTGATATGATTACTCTTGCCTTGCTAGAACAATTTCTACTAAGTAGTGACTTCGATCCTTACTGGGCGTCCCATAATTTCTGCCTTGTACTAGGAATGGGACGTTCCGGCGTAGCCCATTTGGCGTCGCTGGTTCGGCGTGGCAGATTTAACATAGGAATTTTTCGGGAGAGGGATGATTAGGCGTCAGATTACTACTTCGTCGTTATAGTCAAATTTGCTCTCTCTCTCTCTCTCTTTCTCTCTCTCTCTCTTTCTCTCTCTCTCTCTCTCTCGTATAGTAGTCAAATTAGTACTTCGTCGTTATATTTTTATATTATATTTTCTCCAGTGCAGCTTCATATTTCTTCAGTCGTCAAAGCCCTTTTATTCCAAATGGAAGCAAGTGTTTTATCAAAACATGGAAGAAACAAAGTGATACACGATGGAAACCTTTTTATTTTTGACGCAACGGGCAAAAGGGTTACTGAATTAAAGTTTTGGCCTGGTGAACAGAAAGATCGATGTAAAGTGAGATTACAGAAATCCTATTGAATTCCTGAAGAGTGTTACATAATAATAAAATGAAGAAATAATTTCAAAGATTAAATATCTTTATTTAAATTTTAAAAAGTTCTTTTTTTGAAATACGATATTTTTAATTCACGTATTTAAATTACATTATTCCATTAGTGTTTTAATAGGATCCATAATTCCCTAAATGAATGAAAGTCATATTGAAAGTTGGGTGTTTTCAATGTTTTTATTCTTTTAGGGTGGAGGTTGCCTTCGGTTAAAGACAGTAACGTCAAAAGAATGTGACGCCTGAACAGCTGTGCCGAATAGTCTGATTACTTTTCTTACGCCGAATCAGCCACGCTGAATCTACGGCGCCAATGGGCGACGCCAAATGGGCGATGCCAAAAGTTACTAAACACTTTGTACCACATCTAGGCTACCTTTAGAAAATTACCATCGAAACAGTTTTGGAAAATTGTTACGTACGCATGGAGCTTTGGGTCCTGAAGATATCGCAGATCTCAGTTGGAACGAGCTGTTCTAACCTCACATCCCAACCGCGACAGTTTTAAAGCGCTTCCACAGCCTTGCGTGTGATGGAAGGCTTTCCACCTTACATCCTTTTTCCCACGGACGAAACATTACCAGCCTCTCGTTAGCGTATCGCTGTTTTTCTGTCAGATGTTTGGGCGAAATAACATCCTGGGTTCCACCAGTTCAGACCTTCCCATTAAGAAATTCGCCATATCACCCACACTGAGATGACTCACACTCATTCACTTTGTATTCCATTGGTGAGGAGGAAGTTCTACTCAGAGAGAGAGGGAGGGGGGTGGTTACAGCCATATCACTTTGAAACACCGGTTCTTGTCCGATCACCAAAGTTAAGCAACGTCGAGCTTGGTAAGTACCTAGATGGTTGACCGCTTGGGAATACGAATTTACATGCACATGCTCCAAGTTAGCGGGAAGGCCAAGACCGACATTGCATTTACCAACTCTCATCGATAGTGGAAATAATCGATTTTTTTCATGCTTCTGCGGCACTTTTCATGTAGTTTGCGGCCATTTTGTACTGGCCAGAGTGAGAGCCTATAGCTGACTGCCACGAATATGCAGGAAGATTCTATTGGCCAGCGCGAGAGCCAACAGCTGATTTTGTATTCCATTGGTGAGGAGGAAGTTCCACTCAGAGAGAGAGAGAGGGGGGTTACAGCCATATCACGTTGAAACACCGGTTCTTGTCCGATCACCAAAGTTAAGCAACGTCGAGCTTGGTAAGTACCTAGATGATTGACCGCTTGGGAATGCGAAGTGTTGTAAGTTTGGATGTGAGAGTGGCATAGCTTACGGACATATCACGTTGAAACATTGGTTCCGGTACGATCACTAAATTTAAGCAAAGTCAGTACCTAAATGGGTGACTGTTTGGTAATACCAGGTACTGTAAGACGGGATGTGCGGTGGTGTAAAGGATAACGGTTCAAAACTGAAAATCGGAAAGCTGACTTCCAATTCCAGTCGGGTACGTTTATATTCAGTTAACTAACCTTGGGAGAGGTATTAATCCACCAATTGGGCCCTCATTTATTGGTTATTAATGTTATTAACCAAAAATTCTAATCTCCAGAACTTTCTTACATTATATACATTTTTCTGGCTTCAAATAACTTGCCAAACGATGGATCCTATCTATAAAAGGCAGGATGTTTGTATGGGTGGGGGAGTGAGTGAGTAAGAGAGAGAGAGAGAGAGAGAGAGAGAGAGAGAGAGAGACAGTGAGAGAGAGAGAGACGAATGCACGGCCGCAATTTTCGACGGATTTGCACCAAAATTTACATGTTTGAATCAAGCACTGGCAACGCCGGGCCATGCTGCTAGTTATCCATATAGAATAGATGATTACACACTTTCTTTCATCTTATTTCTCTTGCTATTTTACGCCTAGCAGTAGTAGTAGTGTTAAGTTGAGGGAATTCCTTTGATGAGGCCTTGTCATTGTTATTCATTTTTTCAATAGTCCTTTTTCTTCCATAATCTTTTCTTTGTGGGGTTCACTGTTTGCCGATAGAGGGATAGTGTGGACCTGGTAACAACAGCAATTAAGAGGAAGTTCATCGCTACTCCAAACCTCCAGCTGAGAAACCTTACTGCCAGGTGTAGTTTATCGTCATACCCAGGACTAGGTATATGTATACAATTATTATAAGAATGTCAAGTAGACCCGCTCATTATCTATAGGAAACTACTCCATCTACTTTATATCCAGTAAAGTCAAATAGTATTATTATCTATACGGTGAAAAGGGCGCCATGTTATATTTTTAAATTCATTACGATTAAAATATTATTTAATGTGAAACTTCACATATGTTTTTTTCCATTATTATCTTAATATATGGCTGAGAATGGGCACAATCTCCTCAGAGATGAGGAAGAAACGTGGCGCTATAATGTCGTTCTATATAAATATGAGAATATCACCGACAAAGTTTTACAGAAAATGGAAACAAAAAGACACTTCCTTTTGGAATCAGAAAGTGACAATTGATAATTCTAGGACACATAATAAAGACAGAGGATTTGACAAATTTAACACTGACAGGACATGTTGCAGACAAGGGAGACAAAGGAAAACAGGAAAATTGTTGGGTGGACAAAGATTAGGAGATATAACAGCATTTACAAAGAAGACGAAAATGTGGAGAGTCATAATCGCCCACGTCTTCAAGTAACACGCCTAATAGAAGAAGAATGTGTAATTTTGAGAGACAATTTACTATAGAAAACCGATCACGTTCTTTATGTTTAATGACTTTGTGTAAATGTCTGACAAAACTGTTGTAAGGAGATATAACAAAATGGAAAACATTATTTAGGGACTAGCAGCATGGCCCGGCGTTGCCCGTGCTTGATTCAAAAATCGTTCGACTCATACAGCAATCGCTATCACTTGACTTAAAATATTTTTGCCCTTCTTGCATTTAAAGGAGTGCCCTTTGTCGTGCTGATGTTGCTACATGCCTTACTTCTTGCCTATCTCACACTGCGAATTTTTTCTAAGCACTATACTCAACATTAAATCTGTTACGAAAAAAGAACTAAACAATATGAACACAAAACGATCAGCTTTAAAAAAAAAGGACTCGTAACTGGAAAAACCGAATGAAAAAAGAATGTTAACAACAAATACTTTTTCACACCCAACCCAGTTTTGCCGAATCAGAATCAACGTTGAGTTTAAGCAAGCGAATGAGCCAATTGGAGTAAAGAGCCATGCAGATTGAAATTTTTTCCACTTGTGAAGAATGCAGCTATCGATTTTCTTTTGCATGCTAGCATGCTACTTAACATTCGTGTCATCAACTGTTGGCTCTCACGCTGGCCAATAGAATCTTCCTGCCTATTCGTGACAGCCAGCTATAGGCTCTCACTCTGGCCAATAGAAAATGGCCGCCAACTACATGAAAACTGCCGTGAGATGCATGAAAAATCGATTATTTTCACTATCGATGGGAGTTGGGAAATGCAAAGTCGGTCTTGGCCTTCCCGTTAACTTGGAGCATGTGCATGTACATTTTGGTGCGAACCCGTCGAAAATTTCGGCCGTGCATTCGTTACACACACACACACACACACACACACACACACACACATCCTGCTTTTTATAGAGATAAAAAGGACAGAGGTTGTGGAGAGACATCATCACCAAAGTCCGAAGGGAATATGGCACAAAGAAAATAACAAGATTATTCCCGTTATCAAAGATGATTGAGATTTGAATTCATTATTTTAAACAGAAGTCTCTCACTGTAAACATTATTTTTATTTTTAGACTCTGCTATTTGAGGGAGACATATGCTTTAACAGGTTTCCCCACCAGGCGTTTCTGATCTCAAGAATTGGTAGACATCCAATATGATTAAACGCAAAACATGGAGGAATCTTCTTTCAGGCTCGAAGACCTTCTCGCACAATGGAATAGACTAGACTACATGGCGGTGTATACATGCAATGCCTTGATGGCATGCCGTCGATAGGTGTACGGCTTCCGCCACGAGAGTGACGAGCCAAGGCAGAGGATTTCGTTGATGGAATCAACAGCCACGCGTCCGTGACACATGCGTGTCTTCAGGATGAAAGACATAGTCCTTGGTTTGACTTGGATAAGAATTGGTTGTAACATGTCTACGTACTCAAGACACGCTACAGATAAATGAATAGCGCCCAGATATTCAAGCCGGATATGTGCAGTGAACTGAACAGGACCTCATCTGCACAGCGACCCTACAACAACAACCGGTCATCGGATAGATAATGATCATGATTATAACCGCTTAGTAAACTTCTTCATGCTGTCCGCCATTATCTTGTTCCGTAATTGCAATGGATTTAACTCTGTTTTATCAAATATTTTATGTGTATTTTTATCAAATATTTTAGAAGATACATTTTATTAGAATTATCTTTAAAAAAAATGAATAAATAGACAAACCGTAATTTGCTGCTTAGAAGATTTTTCATTTTCCTTATAGAATTTTAAATTTTTCTTATAAAACACATTTTTTCTTATAAGATTTGCTTGCTGCTATATATATATATATATAAACGTATTTTCCTCATTGTATTTGATATATAAAAATACAGAATATATATATATATATCCTTGTAAAATTTGCAGCTTATATATATATATATACGCATATATATATATATGGAATTTGCTACTAATATATATATTTATATATATATATATATAAGACGCATATATATAAAAAAAATAGTCTTTTAAATCGAATATATATATATATATTTATATATATATATATATATATATATATATATATAAATTATGCTCCATAAAATCTTGTGATTAACAGTAAGATATATAATCGGTCTTTCTTATAGATATTTTTATTTTATTCAAAATAGTGCTCAATGATTCTTCCTTTAAAATTTACAGAGTCTCATAAACAACAAATTTAATATATATATATGATTTATTTAAAATATGTTTTTTATATATATATATAATATAAACACAGTTCATATATATAACCATGTTTCATAAAATGGAATATATATATAAAATATAATATATATATATATATATATATATATTATAATTTTATATATATATATAAATACAAAGGCATTATATATATATTATATATCTTCAACAAAAAAATATATATTACTACAAAACGGTGTTCTTATAGATATTTTGAAATGGAACTAATTTCATTAATATTATAATTTAATTTACAAATTAAATTCCAAAATATGTTTTAGAACTACGAATTTATTTTTGTAATTAAAAAACATAGTTCTTTTCATCTTCAAATACAAACTCGCTTCAGGATTTAATAATTACAAATAAATTTAAATATATAACATATATATATATATATATATATATATATATATATATATATATATATATATATGAATGAATGGGACAAAGATGTAGATATTTATATATCAAGAACAACATTGTAGAAATTTTAGGGGAAGGTGGTCTACACATGCTCACGAACGAGGGATGCTGGGAAATTTAAATTTAATAATTTTTTATTTTTTTAATCTAGCAGAATTCATGTAGATTCGTTTTATTTCCATCACTTTTATTAGTAGATATCCCATATGTGTTTTTGTGTATGCGTGCGTATATGTGTGTGTGTGCGCGCGCGTGTGTGTGTGTGCGTGTGTGTGCATTGAGAGTGATTGAGAGAATGAGCAAGAGAGTGAGAAAGATATAAAATGTGTGTATTTTTTCTTGATTCTCATGTAAAAAAAAGAAAGAAAAAAAAGAAAGAAAAAAAAGAAAGAAAACATGTGAAATCATCGACCCAAGCACATAAAAAATAGGAAAATCGCATTAATCAAGAATACATATGTTAACTGAAAAAAAAAGAAAAGAAAAGAAAAAAAAGAAAAGAAAAGAAAGACTGTCGACGACCACTTCCGGGGACTCTTATTTCCCAACAATTGGACGGCAGATAACAGGGCATTAATGTAACAAACTCACAGCGGAAAACGTACTGAGAGATTTTCCTGTAAGTTTTCCAATTCCGCGCATGCGTACATACGTTGACAATAAGCACGTAATGCGGAAGGTAGGATGGACACAAAAAAGAAACAAAACAACAACATAAAAACAACATAAATATAAACAAGAGGGGAGAGAAAAAAAAATAGCGACAAATGGCAAACTAAACAAAGTAAAGAAAGTCCATCAATGAAACTAATTGGATTTAAAGAACGGACGCAGCATCAACGGAATAACTAAATTAATGAACGAATAATAAAAAGTACTTCGATTGG